GGCTGGTTTTGTGGACAAGAATTCCTTCAGCCTATTTATGTCATGGAAGATTTTTCTTTCCCCTTCAACTATAATAGACGTTTTGGCTGGATATAGTAATCTGGGTTGGCATCTGTGGTCATTTAACACTGGGAATACTTTGGTCCAGGCTCTTCTGGCTTTCATAATATTCAGATATTTATCAATTGTAGTATGTACATTTCATATCTATATTCATATGACTTTTAAATTACTTTTTAATATAACTTTTATAAGTGATATTTCCTAATTCCACTGAAATAATTTCACTATAGACTTCCATGTTGAATTTTTTTCTTTCCCCTTTATTGTTTCCTCATAAATACCTTGTAGAAAACATCTTGTCTGTCTACTCTGCATCACATTGGGTGGTGCTTCTCTCAGAATGATGAAAACCAAGGGAGGTTTGAAGACCACCACAAAGTCTTGAACCTCTAGTCTTGTTTTTGCTCTGAGTTCTAGTAGTTGGAATATCACTCCAGTATCTGCACCTTTTCCCTAGGACAGAAGGGACTTAAATTATAGTTTTATTTCAGCAACTTTCATTGGAGGATCACACGGTGAGCTATAAAAATATAATATTGTATAACACTAAGCTTAAATGAGTTCTGTGTTCAATGAAATTTTATTTTACCCAAGTATACATTATAGTTTCATCTATTACTTGATCTGAACTAGGTGACTGGGAAAGATCACAGACTACAGAACATGTCATTTAACTGCATGCTGATGGTTGGAGATAAACATGCAGACTTATTTTTCTTTTTGATATTCAAAACAGAAATCATTAAATGATGGTTATTCCAAACATTTTTCACCTGATGATAATTTACAAAATATTGTTGAAGGTCAAGATGAAGATTTTATGGAAGTCATTTTAACAGATTTGCTGGAAGTGAAAGCTGCAGAATATGATCAAGAACTAGTAAAACATCAGGAGGCAAATATTTTTGTGCCAAGTAGCTCTCCAGGTAATGTCCAGCTATTAATTACAGGGTACTAACTTATGTTTGTGTTGGATAAATAAAAACTATTGACCTTTTGTGTATCTGTTTCTCCACTTTGGACCTTAAAATACTATTTATGTTTTGTTATTAAGTGGCCACCCAGCATAAACTTCCAAAGGGTATGGTGCCACGCATTTTAGAAGATGAAGGATACTATATTAAGAAAAAGCCAAAGACATATAAAAAGATCTGCAACAAAATGGAAAATCGCCTGCTTAACCTAGAAGAGGCAAGTGTACCAGCTAACAAGTTAAACCAATGACATTTGTTTTTAGTGATGTATTCAAAAGTTGTATTTTGTAATCTTTTTGATAGGGAAAAAGTTGGTTTGAAGAAAGTGGAGAAATGATGTCATTACCCTCACCTATCAGACAGTCTTGGAATTTCAGGCTAAACATAAGCAAGGAAGTTTTGAACCCAGCACTAAAGACCATATATAGAAAGGTAATCAACAAGTTTATAATAATGGTTGGAATTGTTGTAACATCTATTATAACTTATATTTCTGTAGTTTTATTTTACCTTTTAAAGATACTAAGCCTAGCAATAAAATGTCCAAACTTTAAGGAAATATTAAGTAGTCTTTAAGATAATGTTTTTTAAAAATTTATTTTTTATTTTATGTGTATGAGTGTTTTGCCTGCATGTTTGTAAGTGCACCACATGTGTACAATGCCCCACAGAGGCCAGAAGAGGGCATCAGATCCCCTGGAATTGGAGTTATGGACAGCTGTTAGCCACCAGGGGTGCTAGGAATCAAACCTGGGTCTTCTGGAAGAACAGCAAGTGTTCTTAACCATTGAGCCATTTCTCCTGCCCCAAGATTATGTTTTTGAGGAATATTTAATGACATAGGGAAATGCTAAGAATGTGAAGTGAAAAAAAAGCACAATACAAATTCCGTATGATCCTCACTTGTAAAAAGGAGTGATAAATGAATCATATTCGAGGTAAGTACCATTATAACTGCTAGCAGTACAGATTACACTTATCTTAGATTTGTCTATTCTATGTAAATGGCATCAGAAAAAGTTTTCAGCAATAGTTTGATGAATCATATTCGAGGTAAGTACCATTATAACTGCTAGCAGTACAGATTATAGTTATCTTAGATTTGTTTATTCTATGTAAATGGCATCAGAAAAAGTTTTCAGCAATAGTTTGCTGTTTTTTATAAACCCATTGTATGAAAACACATTACTTTATTTATCCATTCTCCTGTTGATGGATATCAGGCATGTCAAGTTGTTGCTATTGTAATAATCCTGCTATGAAATGTCTGCACAAGTGTTCGGACTCTATGTGTATGTTTTTTCTGCTAGGTAAATGTTTAAGTGGAAATGCTGGTTATAAGTTTGTATGTGTTCAGTTTTTACTATATAATGCCAAAAAGCCTTTCAAAAGTGTTTGTAGGAAATTATACACCAACTAGAGGTGTATAGGCCCCTGCTGCTTTAGGCTCTTGTCAGACTTGGTATTGTTACCTGTCTTTTAAATCATGGCCATTTTCATAGACATGAATGGTATTTCATTAAGGTTTGGATGTTTTTGTGCTTGTATCTGGACTTTAACTCCTTGTCACCCAGCTCTTTGTATTCTGGGTCTAACACACTTACCTGGTTCTAAAAGCCTGCTTAATACCCTTAGTCAATGACTGTTTATAACTGAAGCTTACTACCTCCCAAGAGAATTCATGCCAGTGTTACACAATTCTAATTGTTTATTGTTTTCTGTTGTTGAGTTACGATCTGCTTACGGAACATTCTATGTATTTGACCTTGTTTGGCCATAGAGAACTCATAAAGTACTGTACTTATATGATAGTTGAAATAGTTGAGGTCTTTAGTCACTTCCGTCTTTAGCTTTTGCTCACAGTATAAACTCATTTCCTTTGGTTAATGTTAGAAGTCCATCAGCTCAGCTACTCTCCTTTAGCTTCTGAGCGCCATAGTCAACACGTACTAAATAAGAAAAGATCATGGGCAAAGGCGTAGGTCACTCCAGTAGAAGAAAAAGGCAAGCATGCGTACATGCCTGAAAAACACTCATACACATAAAATTAAAAGGAATAAATCTTTATAAGTAAAATAAAAAGAAAAAGTAGAGGATATCCATTTTTATAAAAAAGGTAATATGTATCATAGTTAATGAACTAGTGTTGAATCTGCTTAACAAGACATATGTCTCTAATTTAGAAACTTTAACTTCCAAAAGTTTATTTGTAATTTCAGAGTTTAAAATTGAGTTTTTTTCTTAGTGCTTTTCCCTGGTAATGACTCATTTACCAGTGAACCACTAATTGATTAAATCCCTTGGGTGGAATCTGAGTTGGCCATCATGTACAGGATAGAGATTTAACAGATATGAGTTAATAAAGAAACAAGTATTATGGGTTTTTTCCTCCCTCCCTGAAGCCAGTAAGAATGAAAGGAAGGTTACTAGCTCAAGAAAGAGTAGGGAGGCAGAGGTTTAGCAACAATGCTGATAGCCAGTGGTCCTTAAGGAGCACCCAGCCTGCCGTACCACGTTTGAGTGGGATAGCAGTTTTTCCAGCATAGTATTGGAGGAATAGCATTGACACAGCCTGGGGTGTATGTGTTGGTCTATTTTCTGTAACAGATGACAGTGTCACAGACTTTGTAAGCTTCAAAGATAAGAGATTCGTTTTGGCTCATGATTCTTCTCCAAGGTCCAGGGGCAACATCTGATGATGCCCTTGCTGGCAGAATCCCAAGACGGTAGAGAGTATTATGGCAAGAGGCAGGGAGCACACAGGACTCAGCCAAGTATGCTTTGAGAGTCAACCCATTCTTGAGATGACCAGTTAACCCATTAATCACACAAATGCACTAACCATAGAGCTAATCACCTCTTAAAAGTCTCGCCTGGTTCAACTTCTAAATATTTCCCAATGACAATAAATTTCAGTGTGGCTTTCAGAGGTGAAAAACCATAGTCAAATGCTAACAGCATCATCTGTCTTTTCTATCAAATTGATCCAGAAAGGCTCACTGCTGTCCTTCTGAGATGGGTTAAGTCATGGCTCTCACTAGGAGTGGAATTAAACTGAATATGCTAAGGAACTCACTCAAATTTCATCTCCAAAAACCAGCCATACCCATTTAAACATACATGCTTAAAATCAAAACAGTGGACTAAAATATAGATGAGTCATTTTGCATATAATCTAAGACCTACAGATTTTACCTAATTTAGGTGCAGTCTAGTATCCAAATGCAGAGTCTTTTGTACAAAGAGGGATGATTTCCTTATAATGCTTTTCTCTAAGGTTCTTCAAGGAGATTTTCCAGATGATTACCAATATGTTCATTTATAAATAATGTTTTAATAGAGTATTCTATTTAACTTTGACCCACAATTCTTTTTTTTAATTTGTTATTTTATTTTATGTATATGAGTGTATTGCCTGCATGTAGATAAGTGCACCCATGTCATGCAATGCCTGCGGGTGACAGAAGAGGCTGTCAGATCCCCTGGAACTGGAGAGTTGTTAGCTACCAATATGTTCATTTATAAATAATGTTTTAATAGAGTATTCTATTTAACTTTGACCCACAATTCTTTTTTTTAATTTGTTATTTTATTTTATGTATATGAGTGTATTGCCTGCATGTAGGTAAGTGCACCTATGTCATGCAATGCCTGCAGGTGACAGAAGAGGCTGTCAGATCCCCTGGAACTGGAGAGTTGTTAGGGGCCATGTGGTGCTGGATTCGAACCTGGGTCTTCTGCAAGAATAGTCAGTGTTCTTAACTGCTGAGCCATCACTCCAGCCCCAGACCCACAATTCTTGATGCTAGAGTTGAAATACCATTTGCCACAATGTTCCTGTAGAATATTATTTAGGGACTTGTAACTTGAAAGTTCGGCTCTACCGTAAACAGTAGTGAGATAGAAGGCAATAGTTTATAGCAAGGTGATTAAAATGCTGGCCTAATGAAATAAGGTAGTATAATAAGAAAGAAAAAGTGTTTTAATATAAATGTATTTTATTAAATCAAAAGTCTAAATACATTTCAAAGACAATCATTTTGCTGCTTTTATATTTCTGTATCTCTAAATTTTATATATTTGCGATGTTGTTTGATAAGGAAAAGTTACTTGTGAGCTCAAAAAAATAGAATCAAATTAATACAGTACACATTTTTCTTTAAAAGGCAGTAAAATCTGACCCAGGATGCTGTTTTAGGAACAAAATGGAAGGTCAAAGGGAAATGTACCAGTTAGATCTCAATATAGTGGGTTTGCAGTTCAGCCACCATCCTCTCTTCAACCAGGAACAAGTGTTATGTGCTAGGCTGCTCCAGCTGTGTGAGTGTTTTCAGGACAGGCAGCAAGAGAATCTGTCTCAGCTGCTTTCTGAGAAGGTGAGAACAGTTTTTGTTATATGTATGGGGCCTAATATGGAAAGAGAACATTTTTCATATGGAGCAAGTTTTCATAGAACACTTTCCCTTACCTTTTCTGTGCCGACTTGAGCACTGTCTTTATTGTGGTTCAGCTGCACATATTTAATTGTATTTATTATTTTTTATGTTCTTGACTGTTTTGCCTGCATGTATGTAAGCACACCTGTGTCATGTGGCACCCACAAAAGCCAGAAGAAGCATTGTATCCCCTGGAACTGGAGTTATGGACAGTTGTTAGCTGCCATGTGGGTGCTGGGAACAAAACCTGGGTCCTCTGCAAGAGCAGTCGGTGCTCACTGCTGAACCATCATTTCTCCAGTCCCCCAGCTGCACACATTTATGTAATATTATTCAAAGATTATTCCACTCACATACTGGTCCAGTCTTACCTTGTTTTTATTACTATATGTAATTATTATATGTAATTGATGTTAGAGGACAAGTGCCTGATCCTTACTGTTTTTTCTAGATTTTTTTTTTGATACTCTGTGGACTTGAGCTTTCATGCAAACCCTAGAGTTAGTTTGTCACCTTCTTTTTAAAAATCCTATTACTGCTGGGCATGGTGGCGCACGCCTTTAATCCCAGCACTTGGGAGGCAGAGGCAGGCGGATCTCTGTGAGTTCAAGGCCAGCCTGGTCTACATAGTGAGTTCCAGGCCAGCTGAAGCTAGAGGGAGACCCTGTCTCAAAAAGACCCCAAAAAAATCTTATTACTGTTTTTATAGTGATTATATTATACTGTCATGTTAATTTTGAAAGAAATTTTGTCTATAAAAATTGTATCTTCTTGGGTCTGGAGAGAAGGCTCAGCAGTTAAGAACCCTGGTTGTTCTTGCAGAAGACCTGGGTTTGAATCCCAGCACCCACATGGCAGCTAACAACTGCCCATAACTCCAGTTCCAGGGGATCCCATGACCTCTTCTGTCCTCCGTGGGCATTGCATGACACGGGTGCACTTACCTACATGCAGGCAATACACTCATACACATAAAAAAATATTGGATCTTCTCATCCAGAAATGTCTTATATCTTCCTGTTTAAGTCTTCTGTCTTCCAGTGAAAGTTGGTATCAAGTCTTAAAGTTTCAGCAGATGACTTCAAACTCACAGATTTCTTCTGCAAGTATATGTGTGCATACACAGAAACACACACACACAGAGAGAGAGAGAGAGAGAGAGAGAGAGAGAGCTACTAATATAGGTATTATATATGGATGTGGTCATAACTATACTATATCTTTATAGAGAATGATGGATGTATTATTTATCATCTATCTATCTATAGTTATCTATAGGGTTCATATAGCATAGGTTGTCCTGGAACTTACTATGTAGCCAAGAGTGATGTTGAACTACTGATGCTCCTGCCTCCACCTCCTAAATGCTGGGATTTCAGGTGTGTGCTGCCAGAACTTGTTTAGGTAGTTGAAAGGGATTGAACTCAGGGCCTTCTGCAAGCTAGGCAAGTATTTTACCAACTGAACTACGTCTTTAGCCCAACAGACATCTTTTCTGTGACTCTGGTGTTTGAGGTCAAAAGTAAGATACATGACTATGCTTAATCTGCCATCTTGATCCAATGGCATTTCCTAAAATCAGTTGATGAACTAATTGCCTAGTATGTTCAAGAATGCTTTTTGCTTAGAGAGATGGTGAGGCTCTTCTCAGTTCTGACCCAAGGTGTTTTTATGGAATACATATTTGAAGACAAACCAATAATCCATAAAAGATACACATTTGTGCTTCTGTTGTAAGCATCTAGATGTATGTCTCTACAAGTGAGTTAGCTTGGCTCAAGCAGATGAAATATATCAAAAACTCTTTTCTTTATTATAGCTGGAAGCACTGAACAAAGCTACCCAACTAGAAAGCAAAAATTCAGAAATAAAGGAGTTTACCAGAAAATCTTTACAAGATTATTATTGGCAGATAAGGTTGGTTTGGAGTGAATCCTGTTTGCATTAAACATTTATTAAGCAATTACTTTAGACAATGTGCTATACTGGCTTTGGGATATCTAAAAACTGAAAAGTAAAAATTCCTACTCTTTAGGAGATTACAGAAAGGGTTCCAGTCTTTCCTTAGGGCTCATGTTTGTGTAGAAACATTTTAGAGAAATACCATGAGAAAACGCTTGTAGTTTTAATGTCTGTTGATTAAAGATCACCTGATGAAAGATTACTGAGTTCTCTTTTCCAAAGAGAAATTCTGGAGCTGAAAAATAGAATAGTTAACTGAAAAGGAAAACTCACTGGAGGGATTTTAAAAAAGCAGGTTTTAAAGTAGCTTTGACTAGCAGAACAATCAATCAACTTGAAAATAAGACAGTGGAAACATTGAGCCTAAGAAACAGGGGGGTGGGGCTGGAGAGATGACTCAGTGGTTAAGAACACTGGTTGTTCTTACAGAAGACCTGGGTTCAATCCCAGCACCCACATGGCAGCTAACAATTGTCCGTAACTCCAGTTCCAGGGGATCTGATGGCCTTGTCTGTCCTCGGCGGGCATTGCACAACATGGGTGCACTTACCTGCATGCAGGCAATACACGCATGTGCATAAAATAAAAATAATAAATAAAATAATTTTTTTTTAAAAAAGAAAGAAATGCGGGGGGGAGCCTAAGCAACCTGAGTTCTGTTATGTAGCCATTACTCATCATAGGTGAATAAAAAGGAGGAGATGGCAAAGTGAGAACAGGCTGTTAAAAAAAAAAAAACAAAAACAAAAAAACACCTCAACAGAAGTTCTAGCTGGGCATGGTGATGCACACCTTTTATCCCAGCACTCAGGAGGCAAAGGTAGGTGTATTACTGTGAATTCAAAACCAGCCTGCTTGACGTATTTTCAGGCCAGCCAGGACTACACGAGATCTTGTCTCAATCCCCTCAAAAACAAACAAACAAACAAAAAAACCCCACAAAAACAAGCAAAACAAACAAAACAAGAACCAGCAGTCCTGTAGAATCCAGAAACAAATTTCCCTCATCCTCACTTTCCCTTACCCTATATTCATAGACAGAAAGCTAATTTAAAACAATTTATCAAACATTGTGAAAACTGACATCTCAATGATAAAAGAGAGATGATAAACACAATAACCAAAATTAAAACCTGCCTTAGAACCAGATTAAACCTAAATTCATAGAGAATTTATGAGCCAGAAGCTAGGTATATTAGCATTTCAACCCTGTAACAAGATAGCTAAATCAACTTAAAGGAGGAAAGACTTACTTGATTCATAGTTTCACAGGTTCATCCCGTGGTCAGTTTGCTATATTGTGTTAGGCCTTGGGAGGCTTGGAGCAAAATGGTAGAGAATGTATCAGAGGAGGCTGCTCACCTAATATCAGCCAGGAAGCAGAGAGAGAGGGACAAGGAAAGGAAAGGAAAGGAAAGGAAAGGAAAGGAAAGGAAAGGAAAGGAAAGAAGGGGAAGGTCCATGAATAAGATACATCCTTTAAAGTCATGCCCCCAGTGACCTACTTCCTCTAACTAAGCCTTACACCCTAGTTCCTATCACCTTCCAGCAATATAACCTAACCGTTAAGTTAGATTCTTTGTGATCCAATTACTTAACAGTACTGCCACCTGAGGATCAAAATCGGTTGTCAATGTAATAGTACTGGGAAGTGGAGCCTTTAAAAGTTGATTGGCCATGAGGGGGCCATAGGTGGGTATAATGTCTCTATAAAAGGGTTTTTGAGAGTGCATTCTGCCCACTGAGGAAGTAATATAAGCTGAATACTACTGAAAGCTGTTTTTCTACCATCATATATTTTAGCTAGGTAAGAATCCCTCCTCAGCACCTTCCTCAAGAGCCTCACACTCGGTAGTGTGACCTTGTCATTCTTTCCCTTCAAAATCTCGTAAAGTTTTGGGACTCAACAACATCAGTCCTACATCACTGGCTTTGAAGCTGCCCAAATAGAACTTCCTAGGTGGCAAAATAAAATTTATGGAGTGTCGGATGGCACCAAAGCAAATAGAAGCACCAGCTACACACGCACTGCATGGTTTGCTCTTTTTGTCATAGATCACGGAATATAAGGGCTTCTTGGTTGTCTTCTCCACTTCTCCCATGATGTTCTATTTGTTACTTGACTCCTTCCTAGCATATCAGCATATTTTTTTTTGTTTGTGGGTTTTTTTTTTTTTTAGGAGAACTTGCATTTCATCAGGGTATTTTTAAACACTGAAAATAAACCACCTTTAAAGTGTAAATTCCCAAGCGGTTTTTAGTGGATGAAATAAAAAAATATACTAAAATAAGGGCTTCAGATGCAGGTTAAAAAAAAAAAAAGAAGAAGAAGAAGAAAGAAAGGGGAACCAGGTTGATCAGAAGAATTAGTCCAATGTGTTCTTCTACAACATGTTAAATAACTAACACGTTTTTGATCTGCAATGATTGTTGTAGTAATACAAAACAGCTGTATGACTTAGAACGGGGAAAGGACCACTCCCTACTCTACAGTATATTACAGACTTGGAAACAGATAAAAGCTCTTCGACAAAAGCAAGGATTTACAAGCACCCTGATAAAGTTACAGTTTCTCAGGTAAGTGGCTATTCTACCTGTGTTTAATAAGAGGAAATGCCTGTGAATACTAAGAATTCACAGTAGCTGAGAAAAGATGTAGAAGATGATAACTAATCCATGTGGTCAACGAAGGCCTTGCGTCTTGAGTATATAAACAAATCTTAAAACTAAGTAGAAGACAACTAGACTTAAAAAATGTGCAATGGGTTTAAACAGTTACTTTGATAAAGAAGGTAAATGGATAGAAAATGGCTCGTGAAAATATACTTAACATCATGCCGGACATAAATGTATGTTAAATCCACAATAAAATGGGTACCACACACCTATTCAAATGACTAAAATTCAAAACAAAATGAAAATGACATAAAGACTTCCAAGGATACTGAGCAGCAAAAATCTTGATTTCCTGTCAGGCGCAGAAGTGGTTTGGTATTTTCTTACAAAGGTAAACATGGATCTAGCGAGCATACGCTTATGTGAAACATTTTAGATAATTATTCAAAGACATAAAAACATGTCTACTAAATGAGGAGATTATGATGCAGAATTAAATTTGTTAATTGTGTAAGCTGTTTATGAACTTACAGAGAAATAACTAGTTCCCCCCTGACAACCCATAGTCTTGCAGCCTTTCCTTTTCAAAACTGGTAAAGGCAAGTGTAATTTCAGGCAACTAGGAAAGTGCGTGTTTTTTTATTTTGCTGCTGTTGCAATAGTTTTTAACAAAAGTGTTTTTTGAGAGGTTCTGAGCCTTAGTCCAGCATGGAACTTCATCTTGTATTCCTAAATTAATGCAAATTTGATGACTTGCCTCTAATCTTTTAAATCAACTTGACACACCACAAACTCAAGGAACAAAGGAGAGCCACCGATCATGAAGTTGTTCAGAACAGTGGATCTGGACCCCTGATACCTGTTCACCAAGTCTTGTTCCCTCTCCTCTGCACTCTATTCCCTCCAGAAACTCTCTGTATTGGCTCTTTCTGATGCTCAACATTCAACTCTCCCAGTGGACCTGGGCTTGGATTTGCCTCCCTATGCTGCTTTTGGTTGGAGACCCCTTAACTAAATCCCTTAGTATCAATGACTAGGTTAGTCCCAGCATGACTAGCCTAGTGGTCCTAATTTGAAACATTTATTTTAAGCAGTTAAAGTATCATCCTGATCAATTAGAAAAACAGTATGCTTTAATGCTTTTGAGAATTTTTTTTCCTGGCCAAGTTTACCATTCATGTTGTAACAAGCAACCTGGTGTCTGTAGACCCTCACTGAGCAAGCTGGTGGCCAACTCTCCAGGAAAGATCAGACTTAGGAAAAGAAAGCCTGGGAGCTGCATGCTGGCCCAAGTTCCTTTTTCTTCATATGTTTTGTTTGGGGGCATGGAACTTGATATTCCTTAAACAAATCCCTAGATAAAGGAGTTAGTTGAGTGGGCAGCTGAGTGTCTGTGCTAGAAATGTGAACCTCAGCATAGAAATAATAAATGCCACCAATGTCCACAAAACTGCTTAAGAACAGGGTAGAAGATGAGATGGGAAGAGGGCCAAGGCTGAGTATTGAGAAACTGCTTTAAATGGCTTAGGAGAGGGAGTGACACCAGAGACAGGACAGAAAAAAACATCAGAACTTCACACCACCTCAGAGAAAAAGAACAAGGCATTTTAGGTAGGAAGGAGTGGCTAACAATGCTTAATGCATCTGAAACACCACTTAAATTCAGGACTAAAAATAACTGGATTTCTAACATCTAAGTTTTATTAAAGCAGCAGTGACTGGAATGAGTTAGCAGGAGGTGAGAATGTAACCTGCTCACCTCACTCAGGCTGGCCCACCTTTCAAGAGTGGGCAACACTGCATTAAGCTTAGAGAGACTCACTGGGCCAGTTACTACCAACCATGTTTTCTGCGTGCTGAATCTAAAACACAGCAATTGTAAATATCGAGAACCCAGGTGCTTGTAGAATATCTTCACCTGTATTCTGCTGACTGCCACCCACCTGGAGAAGATTCTGATCACTGTCTAAGAGGCTCTTAAAATGAGGAAGTGGCCAGGCATGGTGGTGCACGCCTGTAATCCCAGCACTCAGGAGGCAGGGGCAGGTGGATCTCTGTGAGTTCAAGGTCACCCTGGTCTACAAAATGAGTTCCAGGCCAGCTGGGGCTACAGGGAGACCCTATCTCGAAAAGACCAAGAAAAAGAAAAGAAAAGAAAAAGTGAATGCAAAGCACACGGACAGGAAACCCCAGGACATGCAGTAGGGTATCAGAGTCTTCATCATTTCCCAGAGCCATAAAAAGAAAGAAGCCATAAACCCAAGATCACTACCTCAATAACTGTCCCCAAAGCATCCTAGATATAATAGCCATTTGGGAAATGACTAATAATGCCTTATCTCTAACTAATAACATTAGTTCTCTAACTTACTTGTAGCAACTGTTCTGATTTAATTGGTAGGATGCCTGGTCTAAGCACCAAGAGTTTTAAAAAGCTCCCAAGATGATTTTAATGTTACAAAGTTTGGAAAGCCATTTACTAAAAAGAACAGTAATTCAACTGATTACATGTTGCTCACTCTGAATTAGAGGAAAACAGTATTTGTTTGATTGCAGGCCTTTAGATATGTACTTTGATGTAAAACAAGGGCAGTTTGTCTTCACAACCTGACTTTCAGTTGGGAAAAGTGAAGCCACACATGTTCTGCTTCAGAAGGAGAAAGCATAGAATTTTTTAAACAGCTGTTAGGATATAATTCACATTTTACCCATTTTTAGTATATTACAGAGTTGAACAACAGTTGCCACAATTTCATCTTAGCACACTTACATCACCCACGAAGGAAACCATCTTCCCATTTATAGTCATCTCTCACCTGTGTGGACAGATGCTTTTATTTTGCTTGAGAGTGCTGGATTACATGGTAACAATATGGTTGACATTTTGAAGAACTGCCAGGCTGCTTTCCAAAGTAGCTATACCATTTTATACTTAGAACTGAACATATATTATATCTTCCCAAAGGATTTCCTTCTTAGAACTTAAAACTTAAAAATTAGAACTTAAAAATGGAAACTTTGTTTGAAAATTATAAAAACCCTTAAGCTAGCAAAAAAAAAAAAAAAAACCCAGCTCTCGGGACAGTTATTTTCTGGAAGGGTCCTACGTAAGGGGGCTTTGTTAAACTGTGCCTACTTAACAGGGTCATGAGAATCAAGGCAATGTGCATCAGGTTCTTAGAACACAGCTTGGCACATGCTTAGTAAGTACCGAAGTGCGAAGTGGTGTCCTGAACTGTTTACTGTTTATGCATAAACAGCAAGGCAAATACCTGTGATACACACATTGCTCTGGCCACCTACCTCTATACCAGACTATGTTTCCACACCCCTAACGATGAGAGGAAGAAGGTGAGAGTTCAGAAACATGGCCTTTGCCCTTCAGTTTCTATATCCCCACCCCTCCCTTCCTTACCTTTTCTCACAGGGGGAAGGATTTCCTGGTGTCCTTAGAAAAGGCTGAAAATGCTAGTGATAAAGTCACCAACTAGGAAGAAATTTGTGAAAATGGAAGAAAAGCTTGGGAAGGTTTTTTTTTTTTTTAAATTTCTCTCTGATAACTCCCAGTACTTCCATGATTTCTGCTTTAAACGATTTTATTTATTATTAATTAGGATAAAACAGAACAGATGCGATGAGCAAAAACAAGCCCAAATGTCAGAAGTGTCTGAGACCGAGAAAGAAAGTGAAGAAAATCTATTTCAGAGTGAAGAAATGCAGGAGGTATTTAGATTGTGAAATGATGTCCACCCATCTTAACTCATTACAATATTTCATTGTTTGGTAGGCTAGGATATCTCAGTATTTATAACAGATATCAAATACAAAAAATAAAATTTAATTTTGAGAATAATTGTTGTTTGTTTGCTTGTTTTTAGAACCCCTCATATCCAGCTTCAGAACTTGAAGAAACAGAAATCGAAAGAATAAAGCCAGTTACTTTGGTGCCACAGCTGTCTTTCACAGCAGAATTAACGAATGTATCCAAGTGTTCATTGTAAGCATTTTAAAGAATTATCACGTTATCTATTGTATCTTTTTTAATAATGATATCAAATTTCTGGAGGAAGTACCATCTATTTGACACTCTATTACATTTTAATTCATGTATTTTCACTCTCATTATTCCCGTAGCTCTGTGCAGTATGATGTCATCCTCATCTTAGTGGTGTAGGGGAGTTAATGCTGATGGAAGGTTAAGTTGTCCTGTGCCACATACTTAATATATTCCTGGGTAGGGCATAAACCAGTGTAGCTTGCAATAAAGGCTATATTGACTTCACTTGCAAGTTCTGTATGGTTTTTGTTGTTGTATGACAGGCCTTCTTTTTCAGGTATAGGTGGAGGATATAAAGTAAACTGTTAAATATGATTATATTGTTACCTTTGCTTATCAAAGTACTCCTGACTTTTATAAAAACTGCTCTATATCAAGAGGGCCCTTTGGACCGTTTCCTTCTTTGACAGTGCAAATTTCATTCTCTCCCAGGTATCATTTTTTCCTTGTCCTTGCCAAGGACGTTAGGCAGAAACAGACATAATGGTCACCCCCATTTCTCTCATCTGCTAAGCTTAAGGATCCCATCTCTTTAAACAGGATATTGTAATGTAGAGTACTGACTGAACTGGATCTAGTTTCAACATCTCTGTTCCATGGGAGACAGTACTGGTTCATTTTTGAGTACTATGAACACATCATTTCACATAGAGTTGGAACATAGTAGAGAACTGTATAAATATATCCGTTAATCAAATGAACAGATGGTTACATTGTATTGAAAACTGAGCACATGCAAAGGCACAGTCATCACCACTCTTTCTGAGCAGAGGAGTACAGCAAGGAATCAATCCTTTGCTTGTTTTATAATTCCTTCCAATGAGGGCCTAAAACAATTTATTCAGTAAAATGCCCCTATGAAATGCCCGTCAAAGTGAGGATAAGAAAATGAGTCATGAAATGGAAATTGAACAGAAAGAGGAAAAAGGCAAGGAAGATTTTTATGCTGGAAAACCTAGACTAAAACTTAGTGAAAGTCAAGGCAAAAGGAAATATAATACTTCACACCTCAAAGTCATTGTTATCTGATAGTGTGGCTTTTCCCTTAAACATGCAGCTGGACAAAAATCAGTTCTCTAGAAAAGAATAATACGTTGATGCCAAGGCCAGAAATGAAAAGGATACAGAGACTAGAGAAGAATTAAAGATGACTTAGAAGTGAAGAACAGGGCATGATTTCCTGAGATGAACATAGCCATGAATTAACAAATTTTCATAATCCGTTCATAAGTTCATTGTTAAACTACTTTCAGAGGACAACATAGAGGGCAACTTTTACTTAGCCCTGTCTCTTAGTAATGAGAAAGATAGAAAAGGTCAAAGGCAGAGGGAAAAAGAAACTTCTGTCCCCTGACCCTCTGAGGGTTACAAGAAGAGACAACGGAACAGGGAGATGATTCTGCTCCTATGATGATTAAAGTGGAAAATAGAAGGAGGTTTTATGTTCCAACCTAGGGCTTACCTTCCAAGAACAGTTTTAAGATCAAGTCTTAACTACCATAGGACAGGTGCCTCGCCTCTGAAAAGATAACAAACATTAGTTAGGTAAATTGCTGGAAGTAGGGGAAATGCTAGGATTTGATATCACTCATGGGACCATTTTATTCCCAGCAAGTATTTCGGTAGGAACCTCAGGAAAGTAACATAGCTTGCTTCTCCTATTGCAGTGTTCAAAGAAAGAATGGCTACTCCACAGTCCTGTAGAAAAAGGAGGAAATGGGCAAACAACCTGAAGCTGAAGGGACTTAGAAATACCTTTCAGAGAATCATGGCAAACCTCATGCCAATTGCTCAGTGTGTGTGTGTGTGTGTGTGTGTGTGTGTGTGTGTGTGTGTGTGTGTGTGTTGTGTCTGTAAACCACCTCCAGCCGGAGTCCCTGTTTCCTCCTCTTATAAGACATCTGTTGCGTGTTACAGTTTCTTTAAGTTATAACTTAGTATTATTGGCAATCAAATTTTGATTTTAGTTCTTTTTTTAGTTTTGAGTATGCATTGTTCTTTAAAAATAATTATCTGTGATGAGGAAATTTTTATCACAAATAGGCAGCTGCTATTTGGCTTAAAGTTGGTATTTGGCCTCTAAAATGATCATTCTTGTTTCAATGTGCTAAAATAATTTTAGAAAAACATTAACATTTTCCATTGTTTCTGCTTTTATGGGTTATTTAATGATTTATTTAATTTTTAGGCATGAGCAGAAGAGGAGAGCCAAAATCCAGAAACTTAAATATTTTATTAAAATATTTTACAATGATAAGCAGGTTTCCTGCACTTCAGTATCTCCACTACAGTTTGATTTCAAAGTTATGTTTCAGCAAATTTTCAATATTCAACTAATATATTGGCCTGAAACAATTTGCCTGGAGGTATGCCACTGTCATTTTCTTCTATATCTTAGTTTATGCCATATATATATAATTTTCCTGTTAGCTACTCTTATATGTGATGTTATTTCTTTTATATTAAGAGATAACTGATTTCTATAGATAGCAGCATATGTTATGGTCTTTTGTGCCTTAAGCATAAGATTATGTGATTTGTGGTTGCCCCAAATAGTTCTCTCCTACTAAAATTTCTGCCAACCCTGGATTGCAGCATCCCTATTCATTTTCAAGGGAGTTTGAAGAGAGTTGTTTGATTGCAAGTGTTGAATGGGCCTCATACATTCCCCTGGCCCTGACTGAGTAGCTTCGATCTCTTGCCACAATTGTTCTTCATTTATTTTTCTTCTTGGATATCTTCAAGAAATCAGATAAAAGAGCACACAACAGACCCTTGATTGCTGTCCAATAACTCTTTGCACTAAATAAAGGAAGAAGAAAATAAAATGATGGAGAAAAAGTAGGAATTCTTGATGAAATTGTGGCTCTTATAGGGGCCAAAGCTCAAAGCTAGATCTAGAAGTAAAGTTAGGGGGGACTGGAGAGGTGGCTCAGTGGTTAAGAACACTGATTGTTCTTGCAGAAGACCCAGGTTTGAATCCCAGCACCCACATGGCAGCTAACAACTGTCTATAACTCCAGTTCCAGGGGATCCGACAGTCTCTTTTGGCCTCCGAGGGCATTGCAGGACACAGATGCACTTACCTACATGCAGGCAATACACTCATACTCATAAAATAATAAATAAAAATATTTAATTAAAAGTAAAGTTAGGAGGGAATGTGTGTGTGAAGGGAGAGCTTGAGGAGTGTTGTGGTTTGGGTGGGAAATGTGCCCATAAGTTCACAAGTCTGAACCTTTGGTCCTCAGTCTATCTGGGAAGGTTATGGAACCCCTAGGAGGTGGAGCTTTGCTAGAGGACGTGCGTCACTGGGGATGGGCCTTGAGGTTGTCTTGCCCCTTCCTACTTCCTGCCCTTGCTCTGTTTCCTGAGTGTGGATGCAATGTGACCAGCCAGCCTCCTGCTCCTGCTGTCATGCCTTCCCCACCATGATAGACTGTATCCCTCTGGAACTGTAAGCCAAAATAAATCTTTTCTCCCTTAAGTTACTTTTGTCAGGATATTTTATCACAACAACAAGAAAGTAACTAAGACAAGGAGTCTAGAGAGAATTGTAATTATAAATCTAACTCAAAATTATTTTTTAAAAATATTTTA